GGAAAATCTTTGTTTATGTCTCTTTGCCTTTCAAATAATCAAATAAAATGGAAATAATAAGATTTAAACTTTTATTTAACTTCTTTAAGGTTGTTTTAGCTACCTATGAAGTTCATTGTGCTTCAGTATGAACTTCAAATTCAACTTGAGGATTTAGATGAGTTGTAAAAAAAACAAAACAAAACAAAACAAAACAAAAAAATTCCCCAAAAACCCTGCCAAAATGCATTGGATCTATGTAGGTGAATTTATCTTAATAATGTTAATAATGTTATCTTAATATCATCTTAATAATGTTGAGTCTCCTGACTGAGAAATACAGCGTAACTCTCTGCTTATTTAGGTCTTCTCAATTTTACTCAGCATTATATAAAGCTTCAACACTTTTTTTTTATATGTTTTTGTTAGGTTTATTCCTAAATTTCCATATTTTAAATTTTCACATTTTAAGTATTTCTAAGTAGTATTTTAAAAATTTCTTTTTTTTTTTTTGTAGTGTAGTGCATAAACCTATTCTCTGTAATGTTGGCATCTCATGTGGAGCCAGTTTCAGTCCTGACTGTTCTGCTTCTGATGCAACTGCTTGATAATGGCCTGGGAAAAGCAGCAGCAAAGGGCCTCTGCCATGCATGTGGGAGACCTGGATGAAGATCTTAGCTTTGGCCTGGCCCAGTGATGGTTGCTGCATTTATCTGAGGACTAAACCAGCAGAGGAAAGAGCTACTGCAGCCAAATGAGGAATGAACCAGTACATGGGAGATCTTTTAGACTCTGCTTGTCACTGTCTTTCAAATAATATATGTATATTAGAGAGAGAAAGAGTAAATATTCTTAATCTAAAAGAGATCTAGCTCTCTTTCAGATAAAATAAATACTCAAAATCTAAAATGCTTCAAAATTTAAAATTTTTGAATACTAACGTGACATAATGAATGGAAATATTCACCCTTAACTCCACATGATGATTTGTAGTGAAAACACAAGTGCCGTAAACATATTGCATAAAATTATTTTTAAGGTATAGGAAACATATATGAATTTTATGTGTGGAGTTGGTCTCATCATATATATGCAAACAAGTTGAAACTCCAAATCTAAAATACTTCTGGTCCCTCCCAAACATTTCACAATGCAGAAAGACTCCTAATGCAATTTCTCCAGAAATTTTATCTCAAAATCACATTTTAACTTAGTTATTGAAGAACAGCACCTAGGTATAAAAATCAAATCTAGACATCTACAATTTAAAAAGTCAGAGTTACAGTCTAATGTATACATAAGAGGTGGAAATAAAGGAAGAGAGAAATTATATGTAAACGTCAAAGAAAAAGAATCAAAGGTAGCAATATCAAAAGCAGGGTAGATAAAATTTAGTGTTAGCAAGAAGTAAAATAGTCTTTATACTGATAAAAGATCCAGACCATTTATTTATATTAGTCATTAGTTATTACATATATTACACAAAATTACATGCAATTACAGAAGATATCACAAACATAATCACAGGGGGAGAACTGAACTATCCTAAGAGTTTGATAGCTACACAAAATTATAAAAATGCAAAAAATACCAGTTAAAAAGTACAGACATAAACAGACTTAAATTATAGCCTAGAAACAGAAAATAGATATTCTTCTCAAGTGACTAGATAACATTCACAAAGACTACATGCAAGGCCAAAGTACTCAGATCTGAGTTCAAGTTCTATGCCTGATTTGTCTACTGATGCTCACTGAGGGGGAGAGCAGGTGATATGGCTAAGTGGTGCATTCCCAGCTTTCAATTGATCCTGAGTTCCTAGCTCTTGGCTTAATGGTTGGCCCAGCTCCAGCTGTTGCAGGCATTTGGAAAGTGAACCAGCAGAAGGGCAATGCTCTCCGTCTTGGTATCTTTCTCTCATACATTGTTCCCCTTTCTTCTCAAAATAAATAATGATTATAAATGTGTGTGTGTGTATATAATTTTAGTTAGAATTTAATGTTTCTTAAAAGTTTCATGATTTTCTGACTCTAAAGAGAAATATGTTTGAAGCTGGTCTCTTTCTATAAGATCAAGAATAAATATCACTGTCCTATCAATAACAATCACAAGATCTTTATTTTAACGCTCAAAAGCTTTAAATTGGATGTTGGCATGGTGTCATAGCTAGGTAAACCACAACCAGAGAATTAGGCAACCCATAGGGATGAGGGCTCATGTCCTTGCTGTTCAACTTACAAGCCTGTTCCCACCTAATAGCCTGGCCCAGACCTCGGTGAAGCTGTTTCTTGTGACACCAGTGTCCCACATAGCTGCAGGTTTGAGTCCTGGCTACTCCACCTGCAGTCCAGCATCCTGTTGATGCCTGGAAAAGCAGTGAAAGATAGTCCAATTGCTTGGGCCCCTGCATCCAAGTGGGAGACCCAGATGGGACTTCAGGCTCACGGCTTTATTCAGCCTGGATGTTGCGAATCATTAGGGTAGTGAACCACTGAATGGTTCTGTTTCTCCCTCTAACTCTGCTTTTCAAATAAATAAAATATTTTTAGTAAGCCTTATTTTATTCTTGGAGGCTCAAAAAGATGAAGGAATAGATAATATTTTTTGAAAAATGTTTTAAATCCTCCTGTGGAAATGCTTATTTCTAGCCTTCTATTATAGGCTTGTAGTCATAAACACAAGGAGCAATACAGAAATTCAAGATGATATAGGCTACAAGCCAGTAACAAAAACCAAAGTGAAGATTTATATAGCAGACACAGAAACAAAACAAAGCCAAGAAAAAAAAACACAAGAAATCATCTTCTAGGAGATCACTGAATTTTAACCACATTTCCTCCCCAGCACTTGCAGCTTTATGAAAGATATGTGCTAAAGAACTCAGATTACCACCATTAATTGCCAAATAAGCAAGCTAATAACTGTTTTATTCTAGTTTGTTATCAAATTCAGGAGAACTTATGGGGGGGAGGAAGACATTGTTATCAAATAAAAAACATGAAAAATCATAGATCATGGATAAACTAAATCAAGTGGGGTTTTTTTTCCTTTAAATAAGCAGACATTTCTAACTGGTAATCATGAAACTACCAAAGCAGCCTACTTCAGTGCTCCTGTGTTACTGACGTTACTCGGGATGAGCCTATGCACCTTATAGAAACCACTCCATGGCACACGATTTACAACACGATTGCATCACAACTTTATAACACATCTAGTAAATCTTTTTGTTTTAGTGTGCCAGTGTTATGCAATGATTGCCTCTCAAGGACAAGAACTTAACATGTGGCTATTTAATCTCTCTATTTATGTTGCGAAATTTGAAAGAAGGAAAAAACCCGTAGGTACTTCCCGTATACAAGATGCTTTATGTTCTATGAATCACACCTGGGCAGTGATCCTACCATTAGTATAATCAAAAGAGGTATTCTCTCTTCCTCCTCTATACATCTGAAGTATTTATTGTCTCTGTCACTCATTTGGCACAACGTTTGGAAATGGTAAATGTTTGACATTCATTCAACTGATGTGAGTAAATGCCTTAGGGGCAACAGTGTCACGTTCTACCTATTTGGTTCTTCCACGCAACACCTCACGAATAGGAGATGTCACTGAAATACACTGGTTGAATGGCTCTTGTTAATTAACTGGCTAATGTCACCAACATATTTTTCTTCCAACATGACTTCCTGCTATGCACTTAGCAGTGACTGTACTTTCAAATTTTCTGAAATATTAAAGCTAAGCACACAAAGCAACAAGGTCTAAAACACAGCCACATTTTTGGCAAGTGAGGCTAGGTAAAATAAACAAATATATTTTATTCAGGTTAAGCTTAATTCCAGTGAAAGATTTTCAAATATTTAGATTACAGTAGTCCCAAGTAAGTCTTAATGTTTTGTCCTAGTTCCTACCCCTGACTCGGAGAATGCCAGGAACAGCAAACCTGCACCTGATCTCAACACTCTTCTCCTGTGTTCTAGATTCTCCTATGTTCTAGGCTTTCCCACGGTAGCAATTCTATGTTATAAATGGTTCTCAAACTTTAACATACATTAAAATGTTCTAGAGACCTTGTTGAAACACAGACTACTGGGTTTTACTTTTTGAGATCCTTATTCAGCAGGTCTCTAGTATGGACCTAAGTGTATTTCTAAGTTTTCAGGTGATGATTTTGTGGCTGGTGTGGATATCTGACTTCAAAAACTATCATTGCAAATCCTCATCTTTTATGTCATGTTATCTGCCTGATTTACTTATTCAACCCAATTTAAAATCTTATTTTTCCTTTAGATGAAGCTTGATTTCTTTATCCATTCTAATTAGTTATTGGTTTTGGCAGATATAACAAACATCACTTTCTCATGAATATTTTCATGTTATAAAAATTTTTTTTGGACAACCAGAAAGTGTTCTTCAAATTTTCTTGCTCTATAATAACACAAAACCATCAGTCCACATGATCACATACAAAGAAGGGGAAACCACATATTCATCCTACATTATTCCAATTTAGAGTAATAAGAATGCACATGTTACTCTCTGACAGGGATATTTTCTTGGCTCCTTCTCATCTGTTAACTTTTAATTTTCTGTAAGATCTTAGCTCAGGTGACTTATTCAGAGAGCTTTCATTTCCTTCCTCAAGTCCGAATCAAGTCCTCTTATTATGCATTCTCATAATGGTTGAATTCCTTTTTAGTTTTTGTCATGTTTGCATTTTTTCCATTTATCTATAGGAATATTTTACTAACAGCTATTTTTCACATTGGGCTGTAAGATCTAAGCAGAAAAGGAATGTTTCTGGTTTTGGCCACTATTATACTCTCAGTGTCCAGTGCAATATCAGACACAAACAGAATTCAAAGTCATGTTGATAAGAGCTTAGCTTTTTTACCCTGACAGATAAGAGAGGTATCAGTTTCCATGCTCTACCAATGGCATAGGAACTGAATTAAAATGTGATCTGTGCCCCTGTTCAGTTTTTCAGCGATCCAATACTCATACTATAAGCAACTTACCTTTTCTGAATAATTCTTGGAGACTTTCAGCACTCTGATTTAATACAGCCCATATTTCTTCTTCCTGCAGTGGTCCGCCCCGAACTTCCAGGGCCTCAGCTAGTGACACGTGCATATTACCTGGGAAACAAAATTAACATTTTACATCAGCAACTTAACTTCACTTGCAACAGCTCTATCACAATGGGGGACTCAGCTATCTCTACCTAAATTTCTCACTATGGCCTTCAATCTAGTTGTCATCCTGTAATCTTTAACTCCTTAAAGGGGATAGAAAATGGAGAAGAAAACCTTCTACACAACCATTTACCCTGCCATGGGTTGAGAGCCTTTATTCTCTCAAGGGCTATGTGGTTATTTTAATATAATCTTTGGGATTATCCTTCGATTTACTAAATTTCAATGCCCAACTGCATTTGCCTTAGCAGGGCCAGATCAAATGGTTCTGTAGACCCTATCTGTTCTGTGGGTCAGATACTCTTCACTTCTGCTAAATCAATGGGGTCTGCCTCACAGACACATCTAGAGAACTGTGGTAGTGGCTACTTGATGGGAGAAGCCACAAAACCCAGGTACCAAGAGGCACCAAAATGCAGCTGATATACCAAAGCAATTAAATTCATCCAGAGGCCTTTCATATTTGTAGGTTTCATCATATCCATTCCAGTTATAGATTAGAGAGGATCAGAAAAGAGACCCTACAGCCATGTTAGGTTAAAAAAAATGGGAATAAAACAAAGGGAATTTCTTCCGCTCATCAATTTACTTCTATTATCACCAATTAATTTGCTCTAACTGTAAACTCTGTACTAAATGGAACTATTTCTAGAGTCAGCTTTGCTGATAATTTAACGCTTGCACCCAGGAAAGTCATTTTACTTCTGAATTTCAATGTTCCATCTGTGACATGGGAATAGCAACAAAAACACAAATGCTATTTTGAGGTCGCTTTGTAAGGAAAGATATTATACCTACTATAATCTAAGATGCCACAAAAACTAAATGGGTAAAAAGATCAGAAAAGCATCTCTGTGCTAACGTTTCTCTACGACCAATTTTTTTCCAATGGCATCCAATCAAGTAGATTATATATTGATCAAATATAAGGTTTTTGAGAGGCTCAATAGTTCTACTTTTATTTTGGAAGGGGAAATACAGCCAGTCAAAATCCTCCTATGTAAATATCCTTAAATTGATGCTCCTCCTCCTCTCCCCTCCCCTCCCCCCCAAGGCTTTCTACAGTGGTTGTTGAGATTTCTATTGCAGACCAACCAATTTAAGCATAACGTGTAATGTTTATTTACTGGTGGGCAGAAGCAAATGTGACTGAGAAAAAAGTTAAACACTGACCTGTGGTTCAGTCCCTCATTAACTTAAAAAAATTAATCTATACAACTTTGTTTTATATAAAAGTTGACTTTATTAACCAATAAGAAAACCCAATATTTTATAGAGATTTACATTTATAACACTTTATTAAGACTGAACAAAGGGTAGGCCAGCTACCAGTGAGGCCAAACCTTGTTCTTTCACTTGACTCTTCAGATGACATTTTACGCTTCATGTCTGTTTCTGAGGGGTGTCTATTTATAAGTCCCATGAAGTCGTTGAAAGATTAAAAAAAAAAAACTAAGAGTTTCACTCAGCTTATAAATAATAAACAAGATTATTTTCTCAGGTATCCTCACTAGACCAAGAGTTTTTAGTTCTCACACACTTAGGAAAGCACATTCACTCTAGAGAAAAGGTATAATCTTCATTCTTTTCTCAGATGTGAATTATTATCTCCCACATGACACATGTTAATAAACTGGATATTTCATCAGAGGCATCAAGATACTATAAGCAATCAGATATCAACATGACTTGTAAGAAAGACTAGCCTGTAGCAAATTTCCAAAGAAGCAGGTCTGAGAACTGGTTAGACAGCTTTAAAGCCTACACACAGGACATAAAAAGTGGAGAGAAGATTGCACAAGACACTTGTGTTGATTTTCATGCCTCCTACAAAGTGGGATGAGTGGAGAAGGTCTCCTTCCACCTCAAACCTGCGAAACACACTTCAAGGGAACCCCCTGGAGGGCTTGGTAGTGCTCTTTGGAATCAGAGGGTGCACAGGGACTGATGTCTAACACGCGTGTAAGGAATCTAAAGCCACTGGCTTTCACCCGATGTAGCAGCAAGAGTGAGAGAGTGGGCACACAAGAGAGACAGTGCATACTGTATCAAGAGACAAACTTGTACATGTGGGGGAAGGAGAGAGGCACAAAGTAGGACCACAAAGAAGGCCAGTCCATAGTTACATAAGATCCTACCAACAGCACAAAAATGTCTTTAAACTTAGTGGTGATAATGGTTGTATAGATCTGTGCACCCAGGGAAGGTATGGTTTAAACTGATGAACTATGTGGTTTTGACCTCAAGAGGCTATTTTTAAAATGACACCCACAATATCCCATGGAGTACCCAGGGTACCACGAAGAAAGAAGAGGGGACAAACATGAGAAGAAACGTAAGGGGGAGTAGAAAAGCAGAAAGAAAAATGGGAAGGGGTGGAACTAGACTTATTACTCTATGGAACAGCTGAGAGAAAAGCAGCCAAGGATCATGAGTTTACTGAGGACTGACCGATGGAGCAAAAATTTTCAGACATCCCAGGTATATACAGTTGTGGTGGCAGACTCTGAAAACAAACAAACAAACAAAAAACAAAAATGCCTACTTCAGAAAATGGGTCAACCTTAACATATGCAAGTTCAAAATGAGTAAAACTATCTCACAAAAGGAGTTAGATTTAAAAAATTTTTTGCTTTTGCCTTTCTATCTTTTTTTTTCTTAAGATTTATTGTTGTATTGCAAAGTCAGATATACAGCAAGGAGGAGAGACAGAGAGGAAGATCTTCCATCCGATGATTTACTCCCCAAGTGGCTGCAATGGAACATGAACCAGCACCCATATGGGATCCCAGTGTGTGCAAGGTGAGGACTTTATCCACTAGGCTACCACACTGGGCCCTCTATCTGTTTTCTAAACACAATGCTAGATAATGTGGGCAACTGACTTTTTTTTATATTATTACTCATTCAATATCATTTATAACATTATGACAAAGGTTCTGGGTCACAATAAACATAGCTATACTATTTATATACTGTTCATTTTTATTTTCTTAAATATTAAAGGCTGCATGACAACTGGGAAGTTTTTGGAATTTCAGAGAGAAAATACTTATACTATATAACTATAATCATTATTACATTTTTGGCTCATAAGGGTATTAGTGGCATGACGTCAAAACTGTGTCCAGAGAATCAGACAAGGCCACAAACAGATTCTCACACTTGACATTTGAACCCTGAAAGACTGAGGCATTCATTCACAGATGGGAAGCACATCAAAGTGACTCAGAACAGATTAACTGAATCTCATCCAGTGATATAATTTGTCTGGGAGATAGACTAATTAGGAATATTTAGCTTAAATCTAAGGAAAGGAGGTTATAAAAACATGCTGTTCCAAGAACAAAGCAGCTTAAAAATACTCATGCAGTTCTGTATGCCAGTAGTTCTGAGCAAGGATCCAGTCAGCCTGCTTGCTGAAGACTTACATGGCTATTAAGAAAAACCACAGTGCGTTGAGAAGCGAAACCCCCAACACATCTTTTTAAAAATAATTTGTGAGAAAGATGAGGCAGACAAGAAACAGAGAACACCAATCCATTAGTTCAATGTGCAAATGACTACAGCAATCCCTGGACCAGGGTTGAAACTGGGAGCTGGGGAGTTAATTCAGGCCTCCTGTGTTAACCCAGGAACCCCACCACAGGAACCCCACATCTCTGCCTCCCAGGCTTTGCAGGAGAGGAAATGAGTGAGGAGCAAACCCAGGAACTCAAATAGAGGACACAGGCCACTTAACCACTAGGTTGCACATCCACTGCTGCAAGCATCTTCTAACACAGGAAAGTCCACAGTACAGACACACACACACACACACACACACACACACACACACACACACACACAATTTTGAGATGCAAGCCCACATTATCAGTGTTTTTTTAAAATTAAAGAATCTATGCATACATGATATTTTAGCTAACAGAACGAAATCAGAATAACAGAATAGCCTTGTAATTTCAATTTTAAATAGAAGAACTATGAAAGTGGGTGAGATTTAGAGTTTGAATTTATATAATCCACTAGAACATGTAAGAGAATTTAAAGTCTTGCCAAACATAAACTTTACTATATAAGTTCATTCACAGAAAACTTATTTAGGTTACTTGGCAGGATTTCCTTCTAACTACATACATGAAATATTTTAAAAGTTGGCCTTTAATGGACCAGCACTGTGCAATAACATGTTAAGCTAGCACCTGCAATGCTGACATCCCATATGGGCACCAGTTTGAGTCCTGGCTGTTCTACTGTCGCTGTCCCGCAGCGATGGACTTGGTGCATGGAGCCGATAATAACATGCATGGACCCTGATTGATGGTCAAAACCGAAGTTTATTAGGGGCATCAGACTTTATACACTGAGAGTCCGTACTGTTTCCCTCTCTTGATTGGAATTCCTTTTGTTTTGTATATTACACCAGGTGTTCTCATTTACATGCTGTTTATACCAAGGGTAGCCATTTGGTTGTTGTCATGCAAATACTGTCCAATGAACTGCAAACCTGTGCTCGCTGACCTTCCAGGCTCACAATGTCCTCCTACATTCTACTTCCAATATAGCTCCCTTCTAATGCACTCAAGAAAGCAACAAAAGATTGCCCACATCCTCGGGCCCTTGCACTCAAGTCAAAGGCCTAAATGAAGCTCCGGGCTCCTAGGTTTGGCCTGGTCCAATTCCTGCCATTCTGGCCATTTAAGGAGAGAAGCTTCAGATGCAAGTTAGCTCTATCTCGCTCTCTTTTTCTCTGTAAGTCTGCCTTTTAAATAACTAAAATAAATCTTTTTTAAAAAAATGGCTTTTACAGGCCTGGTAGGGGTTATGGGGAGTTGCCCCAACTAGGCTGCAGCTCCCACTGGTTTACGTGAGGACCGAGTATGAAGTGGGTAGGACTGAGCTGGACTACAACACCCATCGGTTCAAGTGGAAGACAGG